CTGGCGTGATATGGTTCATGGGATCACGAAGAGTTGGACACAACTTAACTAAACAACAACAACACATCAAAAACATTTCAGAAACAACCAACAGACTATTACAATCACACAGCATCACCGTAGTGCACAAACCAACTAAAGCCCTTCCAAACTTCTAAGCAAACCAAAAGACCAGTAGTCCAAGAGGAAAAAAAACCAGGAGTCATTTACAATATACAGTGTAAGGACTGTAGCAGCCAAGATGTAGGACAGACAGGCAGAAGACTAGCAGAGCGCATCCATGAACACCAACTAGCAGTCAGAAGACATGATGAAAACTCCTTGATCTCACAACACATGGACAGACTCAACCACAATTTCAGTTGGGAAACTGTGAACATCCGAGACCAAGCCAAATCCAAAAATGCTATGGAATTCATGGAAGCTTGGCATTCAGACAAATCAGCCATCAATAGACACATACAGATAAACCACATTTGTACACTATTCAAAAGAGACAATAAAAAAGCTAAGAAGGAAACAAAAGAACCAGAACACATCCTCTCCAGCACCCAACACACAGATAAGCAAGGATTAACAACAAACAATAAGGCAGAAAACAAACTCTAATCAAGGAACTGCCAAGGAGAAAACCACACCCCCAGCAATGCTGGCAAGACAAGCTACTGTATATAAACAGGGAGCAAACCTCACACTCACTTGCACTGATGATGTTACCTACTCAGGTAATGAAACGTCTGCAAGCAAACAACCAAGCTCAGAGAGCACCAAGGACTCCAGAGAACCCTTTATCTCTACATCCTGACAGATGGAAAGAAATTATGAAAAGGGCTCAGGAATTCTGTCCATCGACCCAATACATTTCCAAAAACTGAATGGATCTGATCAAATTCGGTGTGTTAAGAGAAACTGGCAAAAGAAATACTGGGTTTAAAATGGCCCAGATCCAGCTGGGGCCTACAGAGAAAAACACTCCAGAAAAAAGTTCCCCAATGCATCACTGTGGAGGCACTGCTCCATTCTAAGCTCCCCTTCCTTTTTCCTTCCTGGTCACATGATCCAATATAAAGTTTATCCAGTGCTCTTTGCATACACATACTCATGCACACAAATAGACACAGATACAACATAACAGGAGAGCAGAAATATACACACAGAACCAACATATATGCACCCACCCTGATTAGACTTTCAATGACACACACATACACTCATATGGAGTAACGCATACACCCTGATTAGTGTCTGGAGAGAGACTGCATACATATTGCTTCATTGCAAAGAAGAAAATCCAGACACTCCCTGTAGCTCTTAATGGTGGTACAGCTGTTGGAAAGAATTCCAGGAGCCATGGAATGTTGGCAATAAATGATGTAAAGAGGGTTGAGGATTTATCTGTCTGCTCAGCACATCAGCAGTATAACTTTCTGAAAATTTAACATAATGAGATCAAATTTGGTATAGTGGGAGAAGCTGGGAAAAAAAATCAATTGAGTTGGAAAATGGGCTGGATTTGACCAAGGCTGAAGCAAAGAACATTCCAGAAAAAAACTATTCTAGAGCATTCCTATGGGATAAGGGTAGTATCTGAAATGTAGCCATTCTTCCATACTAAGCCCCTTCCTCCTTCCCAGATCAGAGTTTTTATTTAACTTTAATAAAAGTTAATAAAATAATCCTTTAAGAAAGGATTCCAGAATGGAATCTAGGCATGCTTTCTCTATCCTATACATTCTTTTTAAAAAGTAAAGATCTCCTGCACTGATTAAGTAACCTCTTCTAGTGTGGTATGTAATAATTTCATTAAAATATTAACAATTAAGAAAAAAACTACAAAGAAATAGAACTTCCATACCATCTTGTATCAAGATAAATATTTCTGGTTCAAAAAAGCTTTTGGTGTGCATAAGAACTGCCCACATCCAGTGGACCCCTGGCTTCAGTACATCTTTCATAGTCTATTTAAAGTCAAATCTTCAGATAATCTCAAAGTATCCAAGGGGACAAGTCTTTTTAAACTTTCCTCAAACATGGTATTAAAACATATGGTAGTACAAGTTCTGACAAATGTCAATTTAGCAGTTGAGCAGGAAATGGACAATTAGGAAATGAATAGAGGTTTGGTAGGGTAGCAAACTTAATTTGGGAACGTAAAAGGAATAAAGAAACCCATTCTCCTCTGAAGCTCTTCTATCATACTTTTTAAATAAGAAAGTTCTATAAAAACATTGGGAGAAGGCAAGCCACCCTATTAAAAAACTAGTATATTCTCTCATGCTCTGGGAAACATGGAAGATATTATGGAAAGAAGATATAGGTAAATTCAGTTCTGCCAGCTCATAAATAGTGTAGCTAAAAGAAAATGCAATCAGTAAATGGGCATAGATTTCCTTTTATTATACTATAGGAAAATGAAAGGTATTAAGCATATTATTATGTGTCATTTTGGTGTTTCCTTTATTTAACATGTTTATCATCTCTACTTGTTTAATCAAAGGACATTACTTGTAAATAGGATATGCAATTTTTAATAATGTCAAATGCTATATTGCATATTAAGGGAATAGTGAAATAATAATTAGGGGACTACAGGTTGCTTACCAACAATCACGGTGACTTGCTTAACGACCAAATGGTCATCCTCCATTTAGCAACAGAGTTGCTGGTGCCAATTGTGGTCGCTAAGCGAGGACTACCTGTATATCAATATGATAAAGGAAACTGACAACACCTTTGAAAGAAACATATAAGGCATAGATTGGCTGTCATTTATTCCTTTTGATTCCTTGATGAGCTGCACTATTTCTAGGGATATTGCCATGAATTTTTATCTCCAGTTGGTATGTCAAGAGAGAATTCTTTTGAGATTTATATGGATAATTCAGCATGGATATATTGTGATGGAATGGAATTATGAAGGCCAGGCTTAGGGAGATAAGCATTTTCTTAGCTCGCTGCAGGAGCGTGGGAACTACAAGAGGATGAGACTGGCACCTCCCTGAGGAAATTGCACTGTTGTGGCTGGCCGGCTTGGGACCTGGGGTTTTAATTTGGGGAGATTCTTTCTAGAGGGTGTTGCTAATA